GCAGTTACTTAAGAACTATTGGGAAACTTTCCCTGCAATTCTATTGTGTATGTCCAAACCATTAGTTCTCCAGTGCTGTGTTTGCCCTCTTGGTTACATCTGTTTCCGTAATACCTGATTCTCTGCTTCTGACTGGTGCTTCCCAGCTGGTATCACAAAGAACATAGAAGAGATTAATGTGCTTTACAGAGCATGTCACTTGTAGCCAGTGCTGTGCCAGATTCCGCACTGACAGGGAATCTTGTGTATGTGCAGGGGGAAGTGGTCATCTGGCCATTAAGGTATCAAGCATAACTCGCGTGCTGGGAGAAGATAACTGGAGCTGACATAAATGGGCACTGCCCTCTTTGCATAAAGGCAATGATCCTTACGAAAACAAATTGATGTGTTACACCTTTTCCTGCCTGAGAGCCAAATTAATGCACGTTGTGCTGCCATGCTACCTAAACAATTTATACCTGGTTTTCATCATCATTTAGTCTAGCCCACCATGAAGCAGCACAGAACCATTTTGTTTTCCCTCCATTTGTCTTCAAATGTCCTTTCCTAAAGGAAGATCCAGTGGAGCTGATTACACATATTTATACTGAAGCAGGGCAAGTGCCTGAACAGTTAATGCTTTGATTCAAATGGAAGTCGGAAATAGCCATGCAGTTAGAATTAGAAGAATGTTTTTTGACAATTTTTATCTTTTTTATTATAATTATTAGCTAACAGATGGAGACAGACTGTATCCTCTGATCTCCAAAAATAATTTTTCCTGCTTTATTAAAAAAAAGACCAAAAAATATCTGCTTTCTATATTAAGATTGCCTTTGAATACAACAGGAAGGAAAGATTCAATTTCTTTTTCATAATTCCTTCTGTGTTCAGTTTAAACATTAAAAAGATATATTTTCCTCTCATGCTGTCTACTCTTTTTCTCTTTGCATTTCAGAGCAGCTGCAGATTTTACAAATTGATAAACAGTGTGGCAGAATGGCATTGTTTTTGCTTTGCTTGAGCCTCATTCTTCGGCAGCAGGACTGGTGAAATATCAGGAGTGCCCAGCATGTGCACACCAAAACTCCTCAGAAAATAGTAAAAAAAATGAACAGAAATCTTGTGTCATGTTCTGTTAACCCTGAAAAAAAAAAAAAATCCATTATCCAGGATTTCTGTTTTGTACATCAAAATATGAATCATGACTCTACTTATGCTGATGTCCACAACTTAAATCAGTCTAAAGTTGTACTGAGGGAGCTCTGCCCTCCTGGTGCTCTGCTTTTGCATGTCCCCATCCTCATGCTATATTTTCTCTGCAGTTGTTGTGCTGGCTCTGACACCCTGCTTGTCCCCTGACACCCTGACTGAAGACTAGGATGCTTCTTCCCCATTTATCCCAGTTCAGTTTTCTGCCCCAACTCCCTGTAAGGCCTTAGGCACTGCCCTTGGCCAACCCTCAGTGCTGGGTTTGCAAAACCCACTACAGCTCTGGAGTTTGTAGGCTGATGGACCAAAACATGGGGAAGGCAGGAAGCAACACTGAGGAGGTTTTATATGTTTACTTTGAACTAATAACCACTAAGACCAATATAATTTGCAAAGTAGCAAATCATGCAAAGCTGACAGGAGCTTCTCTCCATCAGTATAAGAAGGGGATGAGAAATGGAAAGAAAGTTCCTTCCCTATTAGGAAAAGGAAATGTTTCTTCCAATATATGGACTTCCCATGGTACTTCTGTCCACTGGGGACAAGAATTAGAGCAGATACAAACAGACGTTACTTCTGATAACAGGAACATTCACTGACATAACAATTAATTACAAAAATATTTGAAAGTGACATAAAATTTCACGCTTTGGATCTTAAGTCAATGCTTATTATTAGAGACCTAAGACCAAGAATGAACAATAAAACATGGGTTTTATGGTTACTTTCCTTCTGTAGCATATTCTTAATTTATTACAGTTATCTCTTAAGTCAGTAACACATACCAAGATTATCTAAGACAAGTCTCAGTCACATTATTCATTTAAGTTAGCCTATTTACTTCCCTGGAACAGCTTGAGTGATTAAAGCAAATAGAATTTAGTGGTAAGATTTGCCTCACAAATTCACGCCTCCATCCTCTTACCTGATTTTGTTAGTCTCCAATTAGTCCCAGATTTCTGTGGCTCTGAAACTGTTGTTCCATATATGAACTCATTAACTGTGCAGAGATGGATTTGTTATTCCCTGCTCTACATTTGATCTCTGTGATTGTAGCTTAGAAATTAACTGGATTTCTTTCTACCATATTTCACTGTGAATATGTATGTAGTTTCTCATGGACTTTCAGTCTTTCTACTGTTTACTTCTCCTTGAATATGCTTGTGGCTTTTTTGTTTTCTTGTTTTAATCTAATTCCTTTTTAGTGTTCATGATCAAATGCTTGTCAGAATACCACAGTAACAGCAATACGTAGTGAATCTAAGATGTATCACCCCACTGAAAAAATCAAGAATTTCCAAAATACGATGTTCAGTCCTAGGGAGGAAAAAAAAAAAAAAAAGCAAGTGACTGTTCTGCTGTTTTGTTTTGTTTTTTTTTTCCACATGGAGAATCAATCTTTTTTTAAAAATGTAAATGAAAATGAAGTAGCTATGAAGGGTTGCCACACAATTTTAACATTTTTAACACTGATGTTAATTAGACAGAAAAGTGATCTGCTACCAGAGTAGCAGGGATACACTTGCTTGTGATGTTTCATTATCACATTCACCATATGTTTCATTATTCACTGGATGACGATTGTTGGTAAAAAACAGTAAATTAGTTATAGAAGTGATAACCTGTCTTATACTATAGATAAAAGTAGATTCCATATGTGGATTTCACTGACTTTGTTTTTTCCCATTTTCGCTATTTCTAATGTTTCCCAGCATTTTGATCACTTGCACCTACATTTGCAGGAGTAAATGAGGGAGCAGTATTGTGGCAACTCCTTTAGTGGAAACATTACTTAAAGACATTTCTTAAGCTCCTAAAACACTGTAATAATTTCTAAGCATTACAGTCTCTCCCTTCTTTCATGAGATTTCTGTATTCCCTAAAGCAGTTGAAAAATATTGGGTTTTTCTTTCTTCTTAACTGCTGGTTACAAAACTGACAGGAGATAAGATTTGTGATAGGACAATGAAACTGCACTTCAGAAATGCACACAGTCCCTGAATCTGAAGAGCATGCTTTCACGTGTTTCCCTCTGTTAAAGCAATTTAGCTCAGGGCAAGACTGTCTTTAAATCTCTACCCGAATTGAGCTACACCAGTATTAATTCAAAATGTGCTTCAAATGAAGGTTTCCACTTCCTAGCTCTGCCTCACTCTCTTTTATTTATTAACACTGCTTTATTTATGACTATCAAGAAACAAAATTTAAGAACAGCTTTCTTTAGGCTCGCTTTTCTCATATGCTGGCCTAGTCAGTCAGGCTCAGTGGTCCCAAGTATTAGCAAATTCCTAAACCTGTCTCTTCTCTCCAGAGAGCTGCAACATAGAATGATATTAAAAAGCACAACTGGAAAGGGGCTCCTTGTGATGGCATTGCTTATCACGTCATGTCTGTATAATGAGAAGAGGAACATTTATAGGATCTCTATTGGACTTAAGTAACCCCAATTCCAAGGTTACCAGAGTCACCCTTGTAATGTCCAATACGTTTAAAAACATCTGAAAAAGGCAAAACTTTATGTTAAGTCATTCTTTATCCTGATCTCTGCATGTATATAATATGCTATTTCAGGATTTTTGATACAAGAAAATATAATAATTTTCTTTATGTTCCTGTAATTATACAGGATGTGATTTGGGTTTGATTTTCCTGTACAGGAATGTAGAAAGCTATATTACAATGCACTTTTGTATCAGTCAATAATTTTATGAATTATATGAGGATGTGTACTTGGGTGAAAAAACACTTCCACAACAGAAATGCTTATATTAGTACAAGAATAGTATAAAGGGCTTAAGCAATTAGATAACTGAACTGTGTGATATTAATCACTAAATACCTATCTCTATGAAATCTCAAAAATTTTGTAAGGACACAGTACTGGCAGAAACCTGTATCCTGTAGAGTTTTCTTGCATGTCTTAATGACCCTTTTTCTGCAAGACAGGATACACATCAAAGTAGCCTCAGACATTTTCTGCTCATCAGACTAAAATTCTTACTACTGCTTATGTGTATCCAGCTCTCCTAGCGTTTCAGACACATTTTTATATCTGTATTTCCATATTATCTTCATCTAAGTATATAACTCTTCAACGTATGTTCTAAGGTTTAAGGCTTACTGCAGGACAACAAATAAAATGTCACTGTTTTTTGTATTATTTATTATTTTATATTGTTACTTTACATGTATCTAGTAGCTTTTCATATAATAAAATATTGCATGCCTGAAATTTCTCATTAAATATATTGTATATTTTTAAAGTAGAGGCTTCTTGTGTAATTAATCAGTCCACCTGGAAGTACTTCAAGAGGTTCAAGTGTGGCATGAAGTTTCTGTTCTGTTCCAGTATATTGACATTACTTTCTTTAATACACTGCATTGATACCAAGCCTACAGTTCAGATTAATATAAGAGAAGAAGAAAAAAAAATCCCTTTATTTCTCTTATCAGCTTTACCCCATGCAGAAACCACCTCAGCAGCTCCAGCATGTACCTACCCAGCCCTAGTATCGAGGCTTAGACACACACACACAAATCCTCACTAACTCCCTTTCATCTTCACCATAATCTGGGACTCCCATTTCCACCCCTTGCTTCCTGGTTGAAATAAAATGTTGCTATGGATACCCGTCTGACTCCGAGAGATGCTTTGAACTAACAGCGAGGTTCACAAGGAGCACTATGTTGTAGCATCTTCATTTTTAAGTAACATAACCTTAAAGTTAAGGTGAAAATGTTGTGAGTTTTCCACCAGACTAATCTCGATTTCTCTCTTTTTCTACTTTTATTTTTAATTCTTTTCATAGCTGTAACTTACACAAGTTACAAAAAAACACCACCGCCGGTACCCCCACGTACCACATCCAAGCCACTGATCTCAGTCACGGCTCAGAGCAGCACAGAATCCACCCAGGATGCATACCACGACAGCCGGACTCAGAGGATTTCCCCATGGCCTCAGGACGGGCGAGGGATGTACAACTCCACAGACAGTTTGGACAGTAACAAGGCTATGAATCTTGCCTTGGAGACTGCAGCTGCACAGCGCCACGCATCGGAGGGTGCCTCCATACGAACCAGTGACAAGGCCATCCTCGTGACAAAAGCAGAGGAGTTTCTCAAGAGCCGGCGTTCCTCTATAGGGATCCAGGTAGCCTATCATTAGCATCTGTTTTGTGATGAATTGCTTGCCTTCTTTCTGCAAATAGCATAGAATGAGTCATTCAGCTTCGCTGGCTCTAATAATCTAACAAACAACCCCTGGCTGCCTGGCGTTAATTGTAATTCACATCATGGCAACATGGCTGTGCGGGGAAGTCTTCCGCTAATATGCTGTACCTGGAAGAAAATGAATGAATAAATCTCTAGGGAGGTTACCTGTCATTAGCACTTGATATGAAAATTATATTGCAGAGCTACAGGTGAACAGCATGTTCATCTCCTTCCCTCCATGAATTCAGTCCTTTTTATAGAATTATGCCTGCTTTAAAATGCTTCACTGTATTTTTTCCATTATCTTTCTCTTTTGACCTTGGAAAATGTGTGGTGCTGATGGATCCTCAACAATTATTCTACCTAAAAAGAACATCACCACCCTGCTTTTAGTAACAGGTGTTCTGCTGGGGAGGAGGTACCAAGGAAAGGAAAGGAACTTACTGATACAGCTATGGCATGACCAGTAAGGAAATAACATCAACAAGGACAGCCTTTGAGTATTCATCCATTTGCCCACTGTGTAATCATGTCTTGCAAAATGTCTGTCAGACGACAGAAAGTTCAGCAACATTGTGTTGTGTCAAGGGAATGAAATGATTCCCAGTGCAGATTTTGCATGATATTTCCTCTATTGAATGGGAGGCACTAGATAGGTAGTAGTAATAATGTGTTTAAATATCCAGGAAATACCAAGTAGTAATAAAAATCAGAAAGTTGAACTTGCAAAAAAGTTCATTCTGTTGAAACACAGGAGTAGATGGAAATTTACCTTTCTGTTCTGCTCTTACTTAGATTTGATTTTAAGTATGTGATTATCCTCATTTACATCATGGGGTTCACTTTTGTGCTTAAAAATCTCTACTTTTGCCAAATCAATAATAGCAGAAATGCTATGTATTGTGGCATAGCTACAGATATAGTAGAGACAGCAGCATAGATCTTGAGAGCATGAGCTGTGCTCTCACTAGGCCTGTGCAACTAAGCCCAGTGAGTGACTGTTCATCTACAAGAAAGTAAGTGCATAAAAGCTATTATTTTCTTAAAAAGCGGGGATTCCATTTCTGTTACTTTCAAGACTCAGTCAGAGAAAAATATGTGTCTTAACCATGTTACAGCTACCTAGTGAACATCACACTGTAGTATAATGTTGCTGTTCCACAACACATTAGACTAACAGGAATACCTAGCCTTTATCAGCAAGCTGCTTGTCCATTTCTTATCATAAAAAGTGTTGGCTTCTGCTTCTTTACATACAGAAGAGCAGAATACAATTTAACAGCAACAGTAAAATATGCAGATTGCTACTATTAAAATGTTTTTTAAAGTAATTAGAGTATCCTAAATCGTTCAGAGAAGGAGCTTAGCAGATAAAGGTGAAAAGCTCAAAAGAGCAGCAAGTTATTTTTAGTACCTTTTAGCCTCTGACCTGAAACTTACTCTTCAGAAAGGAATTGTATCTAGTGTTGTTCTTATCTCTTCTTTACAGCAGTCATGCACAGCAGCAATATTTAACATTATGAGTGTCTTGCTTCAGTCTGTCCTGGTATTTCAACAATTAATTCCAAAACTTTGATTACATCACTTGATCCTGTTTCATACTGCAGGTGATGACATCCACTTCTCACTGGGTTCTGACCCTTCTTGTTTTTTGGTGTGTTTAAGAATAAGTGTTTCTAATCTGCAAAAACATCTGTGCAATAATTTCCATGGAAGCAGAGGATCTTCTGTATCAACTCATCATCTGATGCCTGGCCCATAATGCTGGTCCTCAGGTGCATACACTGAAAATGGCAAATGTTTGCGACAGCATATCATAGAAGGATGTGCTGATATCTTATGAGAAGTACTATCTCCTTAGTTGCAACATTTGACATTAAATAAGGTTAGAATTGTGAAATTACTCTTAACACAGTATCCCAGTAGTGTATTTTTGGGCTGTTTGTATTTGCTTTTTTTTCCTGCAGTGAGTTTCAAACTTCACATTAGTGCGAAAAATACCTTTCTGCAGCATGTCTAAGCAGAAAATACATTTTGTCATATTTTTGTTGCCTGGTCTGTATGGAATAAAAACACAGGTTAGTATACCCTTATTGCAAACTACATAAACAGTAACTGATATCCCAAAAATACAGCAGAGGTATTTCATTTCTTTTAGACTTCTGCATCAAAGCACCTCAGAAAAGGATGTTTTTTATTTGCATATTTCCTTGATTGACTAAATGACTTGTTTTCTCATTAGCATGCCATGCTAGGGTAATGCATTTAATTTGCATTTATTTGCATTAATTATTTTGCTATCAGGATGGTTAATTTGTGCATTTTTTTGATGTTTCATTCCTTTAACACATTGGTGTGAGAATGTTTGCCCACAAAGATTCATGCAGTAGCAGAGAGGCACAAAGACAGAGAGTGACCAGTGCTGCCTCTGAGTGTAGAACTGCTACGGACAAAGCCTAGGGCTGCCATGTTTTTGGGATATATGATTTGTGTACTGTGCATATTGTTAACAAATGTCCTTTTTAAAAATCCTAGCACAGTATGTATGTGCCATAGGATTGGTATGCACATGCAAAGGGAGCTTAGCTCTCTAGGGAAGCATTGGACTTTCTGTAAATTATCAGTAGCATCCAGTTTACTAGGACAGAGAACAGTACAGCCATGGTAACCCATCTCATGGTATGTTAGCCCTATCCAGCTGAGAATTTTGCACACACAAAAACAAGCTTCAGAAACAAAGCTTCCCCAAAAAACTACAAAAAATAGCTGTTGGTCTTAGGTTTGATTTTTTTTTAACACCCATATTTAAATCAAGAGGAATATTTTCAGACATATCAGCAGGAATTTGAAAGAAAAAAAAAAAAAGTCAATTCACATATTCAAACAAATTGCAAAATACTGATTCTGGGATTAAAGATATAGTTGGTATTCTTAAGAATATATATATAATAAATAATTAAACTCTAGTGATACCAGTAACTCTAATCTTTATATCTGTCTTCTTCTATGACAGCCGAAGACTTATCAAAGTATTTGAATTAAAATGGGGGGTAGAGATTGTCAAGACCAGTAAGTCTACAGCAAGGTTATTACTGATATACTTTTTCAGGAATTTTTCTTTGCTCTTTAGCATATCCTATGCTAATAACTAACATTCAAAAACAGCTCTAGCTATAAACCATTTCAAATTAAAAGCATTTGGATTGTAAAATATACGAGAAAACATGTCAAGAAATTAGTTTCTCATTTATTTCAAGTATTTCAAAATATGTAGTCCTTTGTTTGTTCTCTGTTTAAAAGACATCAGAACTTCTCCAAATGATCAGAAACCCTGGAAGTAGATGATATGGGAACAAATTTTGTAAGTATGGAGACTGATTCGTGATGATATTTTTGGAGATGAGTACTAATTGTAGCATAGATAATGGACTCTGTCATCTTCATTTATCATCAGGAGATGGATCTTCAAAGTATCAAGGGTTGTGGTGTTTTTTTTTCCTGCAGGATCCTCATTGAACAAATTGTTAAAAATCTAAAGCTGTATTCAGGAGGAATAACAACTTGCAACAACTTGCCAGCTTAATTTTTTGTGTCATAAGGTGAACTTTGAATTATACATATATATAATTATCATGTTATGTTAAAAACTTGGTTCAAGAAATTCTGCAGCCTCAAACTGGAATGTACCATTAAGGCAAAGCATTGTACACCCACATAGCGTACTTACCAAGATGAGTATCTACATTTTCTTTGTACTGTTTAGGTTGTACCATCCTTGCCAGTGCTCTACTGCAGTGTACACATAGCAATCAAAAGAATTATTCCCATTGACTTCACTGGTCTTTAAATCATAAATGAACCAATCTTTTAGAGGTAAGCATAAAATCTTTGAGGTTCTCCTAAAATCCTGTTCAGACTGTGCTGCTCTGGGAGACAAGTGTGTGAAGTCCTTGACCTGTAGAAGTCAACAAAAATTTTGGAAGTGCATCCATGGTACAGAGGCTAAAACTTGACCTTTGAATTTAAGGTCTTTGGTCTTAAGTTTAAAGACCCTTATATATATATATGAGTGAGAATTCACAGTTTTAGCCCATTAGCGGAGTTCCTAGCCAGTGGCTGCAATTCAGCCTCCTTTAATGTTAAGGAGCTTAGCAGTTGGAATAGTAGTTAAAATAAAGCTATGGTTATTTTAAAGACATCTAATTTTTTACTCTTTTCACAAGTTACTGTTGCTCATTTTGTTAAATGCCATTTAACATAATGAGACTTTCTAAGTGGGGAAGGCCCAGAAAGCTGCCTTGCATAACATTTGTTGATTCAGAAAAATTTGCCACATAGCATTGTGGCACCAAAAAATTACGAGTAATCACTGCTGTGTGCATCTGTAACTCTGTAGTTACTGTCTCATATAAGCTTGACACAAACCCCATTTCTAAACTCTGGCAAGAATTTTTAGCACAAAGCACTTTCTTAAAAGATCCGTGGAAGTTTCAACCTGTTGTATGATGTATTGTGTAATTAGCACTTAACCATTCCATGCAAGGTATTTGACCTGTCCAGATGCTCTGCTGAGAAGTACTAGAGTAGCAAAATTGTGCCTTGTGGTAAGATAAAAAATTATAAGTATGCAAGTGTCGGTATATTTTGTGTGTTTCTAAAAAATATATATTTTGAAAGAGTATATGCTTTTTGGCTGATAAATTTTTTCTTTTAGTTAATTAAAGCAATAGAAGTTAGTACTGTAGTTTTATTTGAAGTACTTTTCCTGCTTTGAAATCACTGCATATAAATGAGATCTCTTTACCTAAGAATGGCTTTCTGCATTCACAAATGGATTTACTTGAGCTAGTATCAAATGTAGTATTTTCTTTTTTTTTCTTTTATTTTTTTTTTCTCTTGTTACCACTGAGAAGCCTATGCAAGAGAGGGAAGGTGAAT